CGAGCGCGAGAGCGAACGCGAGAGCGAGCACTCAAAGCGCAGAGAAGGCGGGAGAACACGCCGCGAGAGAAGGAGCTCTTGGACATCTACCAGAAAGTGGTGGACGCTATCGACAAGGTGAACAAGTATGCAATATATTCCAGAGTGTTGCGTGGTAGTGTTGTTGCCGTTGATTAGTTTGCTGCTAGCATACTGCTTCCCTCGTGGCTGCTGTTTCCTGTATCCTGGATTTGTTGTGGAGCTAGTGCCACTGCCGAAACCATTCCTGCTTGTCTGTCAATAATAATTTGCAACTGTTGAATGCAACCATGTCCCTCAATCTGACGCCTTCCCGGTTTTGATTGCTTGAATTTCAATTTCTGTGCACACCTCCGTACAGGCGGAGCAGTCCAACAGCTACAGCGGTATTGTGGAGGACCCGACGGAAATGCTGACGGAATCTCGTCTCCCGTCCATCATGCGTACCGCCTTGGCGATTCGGGCGTACGCTGTCCTCGAGTAAGTGGAAACGCCCAAGAAGCGCCGTGTGCTTGCTGCTCGCACTGCTGCATTTCTGCTCTTTGAGATCGCCCTTGCCCTCTGGTTCGTGGCGTGCTCTGTACATACATACAATGTTCCCTGGCGAAGTGGTTGCCGAGTAGCATGTGTAGCTGGTACGTTTGGTGATTATCTGTTTGTTGCATTTTTGGACCCTCTTCCTATGTGTGACCGGGCGCACGGGGTACGTTGTGTATTTCTGCCATGCTCTCTTCAGAGTCGTAACGCGGCAGGCTTGAAGAATATTCTTGTGTGATGCACTCATCGTTCCCATGTTGACGTCGTTGCCTTCAGGATTGAGGAAGGTGTCAACAAGATGCGGCACAGCCGCTACGTCGGAGATGTGGTGAAAACCACAGCGCAGACGGTGCGCAAGTGGGTAAAGGAGTTCTGCCAAGACGGAAAATTTCTCATCAGCAAACGACTTTACGAGATACGCCAGGCGGACTCCTTCATTGACCCTGAGGACATCGCCGAGCGTTGCCGGGAGGAAATCGACCGGCGGCTTTACCGCCGGAAGAAAACGGATCCGTGGTTTCGTGTCTCGGACTTTCAGAGGTAAGGGGACGGACGTGAAAATGAGAGAGCGCGCGGTTAGTGTTCCTGTTGGGTTGAACGGCGTTGGTTTTGTGTTCGTCTTGTGTGCGCCCGTGTGTTGTGGATACATGTGGACTAATTTCTCCAACTCTCTTCTGTTACCGCTTTCCTCTCCACTGCAAAATAGGTGGGTGAACACTGTTCTTCTGAAAGAAGTGTTTTCCGGCGGAGGAGGCATCTCTCGGACAACGGCGCACAGCTGGATCTGCAGACTCGGCTTCAGGTGGAAGAAGAGCGGGAAGTGCGTCTACGTCGATGGCCACAACCGCCCCGATGTCGAGGCCCGGCCGGAGTACGTGGCGAAGATGCTCATCCTGCGAAAGATGATGTCCATGTGAGTGGCGCGGAGAGACTGGCCCGGGGCAGGCTCCTACTTGCGGCAAATAGTCGTTCAAGGGCAGGCGGAGACAAGCTGTTTGTTGTTTTTTGTCCTCTAGCGTCGTTCAGTGCCTTGCACGACCAAACGAGACTGCCAGAGTTGAGCTTGATACCGCGCCGCTACCTGGTATTTTTTTTTTCTCTTGGTGGGGTGGCACGTTCCTGTACGTGGTTACTTGTGATGAAAATCACCGGAAAACTATAATCGTGGCGTGCTTCTTTCACCGCACTGCTGTACAGGATAAACGTAGTCTCCCTTGTGATCCCCCGACCCCCAAAAATCGACCGGCCAGTAATCAAAAGCTTGGACCCCGGGAGGATCGTTGA